GGTTAGGGTTAGGGTTAGGGTTAGTCTTCTTGTGTTTGTATGCCAGCGTTGCAGAGTTCTGCGCTGGGATCTGGCCGCAGCGCCGACGAGTAAGACTCAGCACCGCACGCTGACCCCACCAAATGCCGCCTCAGGGCGCCAGGCCGCCAGCCACCTCTTACACGCGGCCGGCGCCCTCTCGCGGCAAAAGGGTCGAGCGAGCGGGAGAGTCGCACAATATCTGCGCACCCGCGTGCCGATGGGCGGCACACGCGGCCGAGAGAGGCCCTGTCACGCCGCCAGTAGCGTTCCGCACTGCCCACGCCACCAAATGCCGCCTCAGGGCGCCAGCGACCTCTTACACGCGGCCGGCGCCCTCTCGCGGCAAAAGGGTCGAGCGAGCGGGCAGAGTCGCGATGTCTGCGCACCTGGTGTTCGCCGCCTATATGCTCTATCCTGTGCCAAGACGGACACGTTTTGACAATCAAAATCTACCTCAAAATTTGCGGCCGCCCCTCGAAATTTGCTGATCAAAATTTGCGGTGGCCCGGATCGAAACCTGTACTTTGGCCAATTAAAGCCGAGGGCCACAATGTGCGCGCGCGCCCCCAACCGACCCCGTCAAGCGTCTCTGAAAAGTCAGAGACCGTCTGCTCTTTTACGAGCCTCGGCTCCGCTTCTGCCCCCCCACAGGACGTGCGCGCAGGCGCGCGATGGCCTCGCCCAGCTCCGCCTCGAGCGCCCCGCCGCCGGCCGAGGGCAGCTGCAGGTGCAGCACCTCCGAGTCGTCAAACTCCAGCTTGAGCTCGTGGCAAACCTGCCGCAGCCGGGCGGGCGGGTGGTCGAACCCGAGGCCGCGCCAGTACTCGACGACGTCCGTCGAGGCGGAGACGAGGAGGAAGCGCAGCCCCTCGGCGGCCGCGTGCAGCTTGGCCCACGCCACCAGCAGGCGGCCGATGCCGCGGCGCGCGTGCCTCTTCTCGACCGCGCACGCGAGGAGCTCGGCGTACCTGCACGGCGCGGCGCTTTCCTGTGTCAGCAGCAGAGACCCCGCCGGAGTGAGGGGGCGCGGTTCCTCGGTGTGTCGTGTGTGTGTGAGA